AAAACTGTTTAATCACAACTATATCAGCTAAATATCGCAATTAATAACTGAAATTAATAAATGATTAATGAAATTAATAATGAAAACGATATTCTATATCTACGAAATATATTTACGCGATGTATGTTCCCGCCAATTTACTTCGCCCACGTCACGTAACGTGCACGTAAACATCGAAGGAAAACTGGAAAATATACTAGAAAGCTGCCTAATCACAACTATATCAGCTAAATATCGCAATTAATAACTGAAATTAATAAATGATTAATGAAATTAATAATGAAAACGATATTCTATATCTACGAAATATATTTACGCGATGTATGTTCCCGCCAATTTACTTCGCCCACGTCACGTAACGTGTCACGTAAACATCGAAGGAAAACTGGAAAATATACTAGAAAGCTGACTAATCACAATTATATCAGCTAAATATCGCAATTAATAAATGAAATTAATAAATTATTAATGAAATTAATAATGAAAACGATATTCTATATCTACGAAATATATTTCCGCGATGTGTGTTCCCGCCAATTTACTTCGCCTGCGTCACGTAAACATCGAAGGAAAATCGAGAGAACTATTGGAAACCTGCTTTTTCCAAAATATATTAACTAAATATCCTAATCCACAATCGAAATCTATAATCTATAATCACTATTAGGTTCGCGGTATCACTTTTTATATACACTATGTAACCTCACTTCGTTGCACGCGTCGTATATTACCATCGATATATTACGCGGCAGCCTTGTGTATATACACCATGTAACCTCACTTCGTTTCACACGTGGTATATCACCATCGAACAAATGTTGTCAGATATCTCGATTTTTCTAATGTTTTCTCGGTATTTTTCACTTATGCCGTGTTCCACTCGTAAATATTACGACGATGTAAAAATAACCTACACTTCCAGTATTACGAAGTAATAATTGATACCGTGCATTACTGTTCTTGAATTTATATTTCCTCGATTGCAGGAATTAAAACATCAACCCGGGATAACATTACTTCTGCGAAATGTTTTCTACAAACATTGAAAGTTTTATTTTAACGCGACAAAATATTCGACCATATGTTACCGATATGTTCGACTCGGCATCGACTGGAGGTTGGCTGCGATTCGACAATCTAGGCATTTTTATCGCGGGAAAATGCTTCATCTTTGAAATACCTAAATGCTAATGTAGCGATGTAGAATATTAAACGATATCTCTTATATTAATTAATAACAAACAAAACGAATCTAAATGTGTCTCTGTTACGAAAATAACACGTTGAAAACTTCTTAACCTCAAATAATAAATTAATAAAATAAATCAAAAACGAATAAATTAATAAATTAATAAAATGAAACTCTACATAGAAGTTATTAATCACAAAGAGAGGAGTTTATATAAATAAAAAGATTTTAAGAACTAAAAAATAACATTTTAATTAAATATTTCATTAACCACTGAAATTTCTTTTAGGTTTCACTGAAAGCAAAAATTACAACCTGTTAAATTTCAAAATATTTTTTGAAAGATCAGCCAATTTTGAATCATTTATTATCATTTATTGAAATACTATCATGTACAAAATCTCAAAGATTAAAGTAAATCTAAATAATTTAAAGGAGTTTGAATGATTTGCAAAATTTTATATTTTCGACTTAAAAAATAATTTATTAACAAAATTATCAGAAAGAAACTTAGAAACGATTTAAATATATATTTGAAATTCATAAAATACAAAAATAAGGTACATATATGCATGCATATCAGGTATAAATTATTTTTTGCCACAGTTGGGCAACCTCATACTGCAAATTATTTCATGATGATGATCAGTGACTGGAATGCCCTAAATAATTTAGATTGTCGATATAGGAAGAAAATTCTACAATTTTATTTTAAGTTTAGAGCAATGAAAAAATACCCTTATGCAAGATAGTCGACGTGTTCATCTTCTATGACCTGGGTTCTTGGGTCGATTGTTGAAGCTGTAGAGGAGGAAGATGACGATTGATTAGGTACTTTTAGTTTAATTTGAAATCTGGGACGTGACAAGGTATATGAAATTATTGCTTAGTTTCCAGATAATTGTTTCAATTTAATAGTACAGCCATGGAATACAATTTCATAATGTAATGGGAAAATGAAATAAAATAATACACATGACACATATGATATACATGAAATAGTAATACAAAATACATATGTAGATGATTATGTATTTTCCAAGTGAAATAATATCGTAGAGAGCTAAACCATTATTGAGCCAATTAACCATAATTTGTATATTCTCTATCGACATCTATTAAAATTGAACCTAACCTTCCCCTATTCCAATTATAATTTTAAATTACAACGTCGATACAAGCATCGAGTAACCATACTGTCATCTAATTACACTTTAAACCTTCTCACAGGATAGCTTATCGTTTTAATAGTTTAATAATAGCTTTCTAATTGTTACAATAATAGTTTTCTTAATCGTTATAATAGTTTTCTACCTCCTTTTTCAATTACAGTAATCGTTTAATTCCTCCACTGTATTACATCAATCTTCCACCAATTCCAAAAAATGACAAAAATGTTCCAACCAAAAATTGCATCATCTACATAACATCTTTTTATTTTTCTATGTCATTCAGATTGCGTAACGAGCATTATCCACGCCATCAGGAACAAAGGAGAAAATTACGCAAGCTGGTCCAACCGAGTCACCCGGTACACGCGAGATAATAAGGCGAGGGGTTAAGAGATCGACACGGCCGCATTTACTAGCAGCCAGCAGCGTCTACGAAGGTGGCTACTAGATTTTATTAATGACGCGAACGATGCATTTAAATGTTAGATCGATCGATTACGACACGTGTAAAATAACAGACTCACGTGCGCCGGCCTCTGCCACTGACAGAAGCTCGGCTCATAAGAGTACATCAAGAAAATATGGTCATAGAAGTCACTTTCCTCGCTTCGATAATTAGCAGAGTCTAGATTTAATTAACCATGATCCGGCTTAAGCTTCGGTTCTTTAGAACTTCCTTGCTTTGTCCTCGTTTCGCGATCTTCCATTATCCCGTACGTCTAAACGCCCCGGGTTTGCTAATACTCGAATTAAGAACCGAGGTACTCGAATTACCAGCTATCGATCTGGCGCGATACCCGTTGATATAAAATCGAGCACGATGGAAGACGGGAAAGAAGAAGGAGTCGCCGAATAAATCACGTCGTTACAGTATCAGTTGTTCTTACCCGCGAACACGTCTACCATAAGATATTTGCATTCGATACGTTTCTGTCAGATAAGCGGTTACCTGCCTACCGCGCGTTGCACCTAGGCACCCTAGGATAGATACCGACCCGGCGATCCCGTGTACACAGATTTCTCGGTTCGATCGTTAATGTACATCATTCGGATAAGGATCAACATATCATAAATATCAGCCGGCAAAAGCGTGACTTATAGCTTATTAAACATGATTTATCGCGAACCGGGCACAATGTAAAATAAATAGTACCCGGGCCGCGCGGATGAAGACACCTTGGCCAAATGTCAGAGGACGAGCGGAGAATAAAAGAAATATCGAGTTACGTGTGCTTGGGTAAAAAATCGCAGGATTCGCGAGGATGCGAACGAGAGAAGCGCAATATGTAAAATTAAAGGCACTTGGACCGAGACACGGGGAGAAAAATCGAAATACAAAATTAGACACACCTGGACTGAGAAATGAGAATAAGATCTACGAAGAAGTAGAATATAGGAAATATCGAATCAGGGACAGGAGGAATGAGGAATATCGAAATACAGACACCATAGTCGGAAGATAGGGAAATGTAGAAAGGAATAACAAGGTAAAGACACCTCGACCAAATAATAAAAATAGGACAAGAGGGAACGACTCGGAGACTTAAACCAAGATTTAAACCAAGAACTGAGAGATGCTTGGAGGACTTTAGAACGAAAGAGAGAAAAGGAAAAATCGTAATAAAGACATCTGGACTGAGAAAGAAATCGGGTCTCAAGCAAAAGACAGGAACTGCAGAAAGCAAGGAGATATCTCGATAAAGGCACACCTGGCTCTGAAAACTGCCGAAATGCGGGGAAAAATTGTCAGGGAAGTCATGGGAAAAACGACAGTGAGGAGAAAATCGTGGACCAAAGGCGATTCGTGGAGCCCTCGAAACATCCCTCGAAGCAGAGAATAACGAGCGGCGGTTTGCTGGTCCGCAAAAGGCGTTCGAGGATGCTAATGCTGGCTGCGCTCGCGGTTGCAGCGAGCGGCTGCAGCGGGACGGGTGCGTAACAGGAGCGCATAGAAGCGGCGCATAGAGACGGAGCCGCGATCCGGTATGACTTGGACCGGCGAACACGCTTAGAGAGTGCATAGCCCCGCTGCGTGGGAACTGGAGCACTCTGCATACGGAGAATGGTTGGCCGCGCCACGACTCCGGCGTCCAAAGACGACGAAGACAACGACGAAGAGGAGGATCTGGACGATGCCGGTGCAGCACGAGGCGCACGAGATCCTCTCTATAAATCACCGACCGCGAGCAGTTTCTCTCCGTGCAGGAGGTGGAACAATATCCTTTCCTAAGGTCTTTGCCTACCGTGCGCCTACCGTGCTCGCCTCGCGCGCTCCCTGCGCCGCTACAATAGCATCCGCCAAGGATTCGCGATGCGCCAGCACCGTCTGATTAAATACAAATGGAAAGAACGGACGGGAACAACGCCGGATTATGGGCCGCCTACCGGTTCCGATCGCCAATCCGCTAATTCTCTGTCAACCGCTTAAATCGCAATAAAAATCTTCGCGAATTTCACCAACGCGAGAAAATCTCAACGGTACTCTAGGTAACACCTGGACAAACTCTAGACAATTATACTGAATGGATCTAAATGCAAAAAACACTAAACCGGTGTAAAATCTGAGAATGAAACGCATGAAAGTCCGGCCAGCTCGATCGGTACCTAAGAATCATAGCATTTGATTAAGAAACTGGCGGAAAGAAAGCGAGATGGTTGCGGCGAGATTGGCGAGGAGATTCGCGACGTGGGTCTCGTTAGCGAGTCGCAGCCGATACGGGGCGCACTTATCGGCGCGCACGTCGGCGGCGCTGCGCGGCAGCAGGCTAAACGCTTAAGCACCGTTTGCAACGGACAGTTGCACACACATCGCGCCGGAACTGTCTGCCGCTGCCGGTTTCGCAGCTGGCCTGATATATCCTCTGTTCTGGCGCTCGCTCGCCCTCCTCCCGTCCCCAAGGGTCCGCTATTTTTTCGCGCGGCTCGCCGCCTCCAGCGGCATTATTAATGACCGCGGAAACCGCGTCAAAGATCTCACGAGCGTGCGCGAGCGTGATCCGTCCGCGTGTACGATACGCATTTTTTAACCGACGCCGACGCCGCCGCCGCGTGATGAATGGCGGCTAACCGTAGTCGGAATGTTCTTGTCCCAGAGAGAATCGGCCAGAGATCCGTGGATCAGCTACTAGACGCGTCGTGATTTAACGGGGTTCGCACGTATGACGTGCCATTGTGATTTAGGTCTTTAGATATTAACGGTCCTCCGGCCCGATACGCAATGCTTGTCGCAGAACCCGCCGCTTTTCCGCCGCTTTTTCTCGCACAGACTCACGGAGATGTGCAAGGACTGCATCGCAAGCAGTGTCCATCAAGAGTCGACCCTCGCTCGATGCGATCGGGTTATTAATGGAACCACGCGTATCCGGCAAGGATCTTCGTTCTGCCAAGGCTGTTTATTAATATGGAAAAGCCGTCCGAGTTTCGACTGACAATGAGATACATGCTGGTGATTACATTTGAAGCGTTTCGAAAGATTCGCGTATTGGGAGAGTAGGCTGCTGGACGCGAGGACTGGTCTCGAGGCTTTACGCGGTGATGGCTGACTTTCTCGTCGATGACAAAATCGCGCAGGTTGTTTACTGTTCGTGACAATATTATTCGCGTGGTCAGATGGTTGACCTCTTCTTTGTTGATCTCTGAAGGCCAAACTGGCCTTCGGAATATGCGGGGAAAAATTTGCGCGATTTTTGTATACATGCAACAGTCTTCTTTGCCAACTCTGTATACCTTCGTTGATTATGATATACCTGATCCTTTCTGCGCTGAGTGAACTAAATTAATGCAAAGATTGTAAAGATTCTTTACTATTCACGACGGTGATGATGAATTTCTATGAATTATTCCCTATTTCCTATATTCTAAAGATTGTTAATTCGCAACAAGCTTTCTTTCCCTCTGTTTCTCTTTGCGGATCCTGAGAGGTCACATCAATCTTGGTAATACACGCGACTTTTGCATCAACCGAATAGTCCCTTTCTCCCAAAATCTATACCTAAACTGTCCCAGGAAGCATGGAATAAACATGATAGAGTAAAAAATCCTAACTGCAATAGTGTTTTCAGTCGTCATAGTCTACCCATCCCGCGGGAAGTGTCGAGACCAAGCAATGGTACAATTACATCTTGGCCTTCTTCAGCATAGCCACGTCGGTTTGCAGGCTAGAGACCTTCTGGGTCAGTTCTCGAACCTGCTCGTTCAAGCTAGCCACGCTGTACGGCAACGTATCCGAGGAACCGATCTTCCTGTCGACGCATTTGTTCAAAATGGCGTCGTCTTCCTCGGCACCAGGCTCGTGGGCCATGCACTCCTCGATCAGCAGGTCGCTGATGCTCCAGTCCTTGATGAAACGGATGTGATTGCTACCCAGGTACCAGGTCATGGAGGAGCGGCACTTATAGGACCAGGGATTGCCGGCGATTAAGATTCTTCGAAGCTTCTTCAGCTTCTTGAGCAGGTCCGGCGAGAGACACGCGTTCAGCTCGTTGTAGGCTATGTCCCAGACGCGCAGCTCCGGCAGGAGATCGTAAATTTCCGGATCTATATCCACGATCCGATTACGCCACAGGATTAGAGCTTGCAGATTCGGTAATCCCTTGATCCAGGAGGCGTCGATCTTTCGGATCTTATTGTTCACCAGGCCCAGCACTTGCAATTTATTAAGACCCTTGAAAGCATCCGGCTCGATCTCCTCCACCCCGCAGCCGGTTATGTTCAGCTCTGTCAGCGAGTCCGCGTATTTGGACAACGCGTTAGCCTTTATCTTGCTGATGTTCGAGTTGATGATGTTGATCCCCGCGGCTCCGACTGGTATCTGCAACTATTTATCGAATGCTTTATTTTCTCGCTTTTCACTTGCTCATGATTTGGTTCTTTAGGTACTGTTCTGTGAGCTTCGTGGGGGTCTCTGGTCCTTCTATGGTATTTTTATTTAACTAAGAAATAAAATAGACCCATGTTGCATAGGAATTTTATCGCATTTTAAATGAAACAAAATTGGTATATTTTTACTAATATTTTTACTAATGAACCTTCCACAATTGATGAATCTGTACTGGCATGCTGAATGTTGCCAACATAAGCGAATACATTTATAACATTTGTCAAAGGTATTACCAACTGCTATACGTAAATAAGACGATATATAAACTTACGTGCATGCAGCTATTGCGATATTTCGAGGTGGGACTAAAAATGTCCCACCATGCATTATGGTGCACCAAAAAGGTGGGACACTTTTAATCCCAGCATACCTCAAAAAGAGTTAAACGGGCTTTCGACTTCTTCAGCGTAGAAGAGGTTCGTGGGACAAAATGAAGTTCTCAGAAAGGTGTATTTAAGCATTTGAGATTTAAATGTTTCTTATACTTAACTCTACTGATTTTTATAGCAATTTTGTACAGAACGAAGTTTGGAAGACGTGTCTGGGAAGCAATGGGGAATACATTTCTGCGTTTTACGCAAAAAGAGTTGGGGAACAATGAAACACCACGCATACTACGACACATGAGTCTACATTGTATGTATATATTTTAATTTGTTATCAGAGCGACTGAGTGAGGACGTGATATTTATATCATAGTTGACACATTGACTGTCACGCGACATATAATCAAGCTCCCGTTGTGTGAGTATTGGTTTTATGAGTGTGTGAGTGTTGGTTTTATATGTGTGAATGATATTGAGGTAGAATAAATGAAAGTTATTTGGTATGACGTAAATATAATATGTACGAGTGGAATCTAGTGCGAATGTTGATGAAAAATGTTTAGAAGAATGTGCCAGAATGAAACAGCTACGTGAGAATCTTCGAAGAGTAAATATGTGTTAATGAGAGTGTGAGAGAGCGACAGATAGAGAAGAATTTTCTAGATAGCGTGAATCTTCTTGTTTAAAATATTATATCGCGAATTGATGTCGATATTTAAATATTATTATATAAATATATTAATTTGTTAATTGTTAAAATACGTATAAAAAATTGATTTCTATTTCTATCCACAGTTGTCACGTGATATTAAAAGGAAAAATTTCGCGATATCGAGATTGCTAATTAAATATAGAAGTTTGGAATGTTATTATATAATCTGATAATATCAAAATGGAAAAGAAAATTTTTTCCACTTTTGTGGAAAGGCAATTTGGAAACTAATGGGCTAGAAAATAAATATTTTACTATATATTATATTCCTATTTTGAAAATATAAAAATCATTGAGAATATCAAAATATTAACTTAGTATTAAAATTTTCCACGTTAGTATCCTGCATTTCACAGTCAAAATCGTTCAAAAATATTTTTTTCCTCGCGAGGAAATAATTTTGGAGCGAATGGGTTAAGAATTACGTGTTTTCCTTTTGGAAATGTGGTAATAAGGGAAATGTAACGTGGTTCAGTGGTTGTTCGATATTTGGAATGTTAAATATCTGGAGAGAGCAAGCACATCGATGTTACGTGTTATTTCAATTATTTAAATCGCATGAAATGATTAAAGTAAGTAATTATTTGGATAAGTAAATTCCGTTGTATTTAACGGAGCTGAGATAATAACAGATTTGTATACGCAGGAAAAATGAAATTTAATTCGTGCGTGGTTGTAAATATTGTAATTGTAAATAAATGCAAGCTAAATATTTGGCTGACGGAAAAATCTGTTTGAGACAGAACGAAAATTACTGTTACGTTTCATTTGTGTACTTTAATATCTACTTTTCTGTTGTATCTGTTTCGTCTGAATTGAGAATAACGAAGTTATTTCCTGTAGTACTATTTTCTGAGATGCACACGTAAAAGGTAATTCCCAGCAGCTGATGCAATTCAAATGTCTCAATAATAATTATAGATCATAGATATTGCAGCTGATTATGCGTATTATTAATGAGTACTATTGATTATGCGTATTATTATTATTATGACTATGATTATGCGTATTATTAATGTTATTAATACGTAATACTGTTTTTCGCTTCATCTTTAATATTTTCCTATAAGAAAATATTGATTTTAATTTTTATTATCATTTCTGTAATTGTTATTCTTAATTTATTGTCGTTCAATTTTATTTTTATGCTGAATAATATTAGCTTTCTCATATACGATCTCATTGACTTCGAGTGTGTTTGACATAACTTTTCATGCCTGCTGATGAAGTGTTAAATGATTTAAAAACACTGAAAGTACGAAAGAAAATCTTCCAAATACCGATATAAATATACTATTAAATTAATCGTGGAGCTCACAATTATCCAAATACTTGGGAAATTTTTGAACCCTTCAAAATACAAGTATGTACATATATATGATAATCCCATGCACCCCATTATTATGACATGACAATAATATAAACTCAGAAGCTTCGCGTTTCAATACTTATCCAAGGAAATAAATTTATATTTAACCATGACCAATATTTCCAAAGTTAGATATTCCTTTTACAGCAAGAAATCGATTCCTACGACTATAAAAATTCGAAAATCTCAAAAACAGAAAACTCGATACCCACGACTATAGAACTTCAAAAGTCTCAAAAATTAAGAAATCAATTCCTACGGCTACGAAACTTCAAAACTTTCAAAAATTGAAAAATCGATTCCTACGACTGTAAGACTTCAACAATCCCAAAAATTAAGAAATCAATTCCTAGGATTGTAAAACTTAAAAAATCACAAAAATTAAGAAATCGATTCCTACGACTATAGAATACCAAAAATCTCAGAAACTAAAAAATCAATTCGACGTGAACGTGAAGCAAAGCTGGAAAATCGTAAGCTCATGCCAAAACCATAGCACCGGGTAAGACAAGGAAGCTACGGATCGAAAGATCAGCTAAACGACCCCGGGCATGCAGGCAGTGCTCCTAACAAGATAGTCAACAAAAGCAGCAATTGCTCACGTTTAAATCGCTTAATCCCTCGCACTGGTACCAATCTTCTCGTGCGTTCAATCCCGGACGACAGGTCGCCGCGCAGGCCGCCAAACACGTCGCCAAGATTATCGTTCTGAGCTGGCCTCTCATGTCCCGCGAAATTTTACCGGCAACTATTCCGCCACGGCTCGGGTATTCGCCTTTTATACCGTTTCGAATCGGCTGCCACTCGGACTTTAGTGTCACGGTCGCCGAGAAGGAAAATATAAAGCGGGGAAGTACGGCCAGGCAAGAAGAGACGTGACGGAAACACGCGGACGCGATGGCGTCGCGCGACGCATGCAAAACGATCAAACGGCTACCCACGGCCACTCGAGGAAGATTTCCTCCCCTGCTCGCCTTACCACGGCGCGTTTTTACCTGGACAAACGAGCACGGGTTATTGGCGGACGACGCGTCGATTATTGGCAACACGCGAGCGAGTTGCCGGCCATTTTCACGCTCCACGGACACCCGGCGTGTCGTAAGAACGTAACGAGCCCTTGATTGAATAATTAGGATTCCCCGGTGCCGTTCCTCTTTAGTGTCACCGATGCTGATGCCTCGCGAGAGCCGGAACCGGTTTGCAGCACGCTGGACCAGACTCGTGTATGCCAATATCGATCGCGATGCATGCTACTTCGCGCCTTTCAGCCTGTCTGCTGCACCTTCCGTGTCGGTGTATGCGTTCGCTGGCTTTTTGGTGCGGCTTTTGAAGTTTTCGATGGGTGAGTGAGTTTCGTTCGCTCACTGGTTTGTGTTGAGTGGCTTTCGATGACTAGTAGTTTGGGTTAGGTTTGGGTCAGGACAGTAGCTTTGTTTTGCTTGGGTAGCTTGAAGATTTGGTGCAGCATAGATGAAGTTTTAAATGATTATCGTATGATTTTGGGAAAGGGAGGATTAGCTGATGGCAGATAATGTAAGGATAATGGTAATGGGAGTTTCGAAGTTTTTAATTGGTATGTAGGTGGTTAGATTGGATGATTTGTGTCCGATTTTGGGGAGCAGAGTAGCTTTGCTTGTTTGGGTACCTTGATTATTGTAGGATCTTGAGAAAGTGAGGATTATCTGATGCTTCTTAGATCTTAGTGTGTGTATTGAGAGATTTTTAGCTCGAATTCTGATTTTTTTAATTGGTAGATGGTTAGATTGAATGATTGGATTGTGATGAGAGGGTTTGGATAAGGAGAGTAGCTTTGTTTTCTTGAGTAGCTTGCGGATTTGGTACATGGTAGATGGATTTGAACGATTATTTGGGGGAAATGAGGATTATCTGATGCTTGTTAGATCCTAGTGTATGTATTGGGATATTTGTAACTTGAATTCTGACTTTTTTAATTGGTAGATGGTAAGACTAAGTGATTGGATTGTGATCAGAGGGTTTGGATAAGGAGAGTAGCTTTGTTTGCTCGAGTAGCTTGGAGATTTGGTACATGGTAGATGGGGATTTGAATGATTATTTGTGGAAAATGAGGATTATCTGATGCTTCTTAGATCCTAGTGTATGTATTGAGAGATTTGTAGCTCGAATTCTGACTTTTTTAATTGGTAGATGGTTAGATTGAGTGATTGGATTGTGATGAGAGGGTTTGGATAAGGAGAGTAGCTTTGTTTTCTTGAGTAGCTTGGGGATTTGGTACATGGTAGATGGATTTGAACGATTATTTGGGGGAAATGAGGATTATCTGATGCTTGTTAGATCCTAGTGTATGTATTGGGATATTTGTAACTTGAATTCTGACTTTTTTAATTGGTAGATGGTAAGACTAAGTGATTGGATTGTGATCAGAGGGTTTGGATAAGGAGAGTAGCTTTGTTTGCTCGAGTAGCTTGGAGATTTGGTACATGGTAGATGGGGATTTGAATGATTATTTGTGGAAAATGAGGATTATCTGATGCTTCTTAGATCCTAGTGTATGTATTGAGAGATTTGTAGCTCGAATTCTGACTTTTTTAATTGGTAGATGGTTAGATTGAGTGATTGGATTGTGATGAGAGGGTTTGGATAAGGAGAGTAGCTTTGTTTGCTTGAATAACTTTTTAGATTTGGTGCAGGGTAGATGGATTTTTAAATAATGGTTATATGATTTTGTAAGTCAAGATTATCTAATACTTCTTTTATACTGGTATATATATTGGCAGATTTTTAGTGCGAGTTTCAAATTTTTTAATAAATATGTAAGTGGTTAGTTTGTGTTAGATTTGGGTAAGAACAGTAGCTTTGTATACTTGGGTAGTTTGGAGATTTGGTTAATGGTAGATTGTTTTAAATGATTATTGTATGATTTTAGGAAAATGAGGATTATTTGATGCTTCCTTAATCCTGGAATATCTACTGACAGAGTTTTAGTGTCAGTTTCGAATTTTTGAATGGATCGATGGTTAATTTGAATAATTGGTTTGTGTTAAAAGGATCTGGGTGATTATAGGGTGCTTTGTATCAGGTTTATCAGATGGATTTGAATAATTATTGAATGGCTTCGGGAAATTAAAGAGAACAAAGTACGTTTGTTTGTTTGAGTAATTTGACCAAGTATTTAACACAGGACAAATATTTTTGGATAATTATCGCATGATTTGAAATATACAGTATCTATTACTCCACTATAATAACTAGATTATTCATAGAATAATCAACTAGACGTTGAATAAATTACGACTATCGTATAATTTCAAGAAATTAAGATAAACAGAGAAGCTAAGTTCGTTCGAGTATACTAATTAACATCGCTATACTACATTATCCTTGAACCAGTCTTCATTCTCCAAATTTAATCAATGAACTATTACCTCTATTCAATCCTAGACAAATTTCCATTTTCAAAACTCGCTTCAAAAATAAATTCTCTAAATTCCTATTTTCATATCAACTTCGTGCAATAAATTTCCCGAATCAACTGCAATAACCAGAAAGCAAGTAAAAAATCGACAAGAATCTTCAAAGTACGCGAATCAAAGTACGAGAAATGGAAGGGAACTCCGGTGGAACGGGACACGTGTTCCGGAACTGGCATAATTACCGAAAAATTCGGCCGGATAATCTCGTGTCAGACATGGTTCGAATTCCCATCGCGTTATGAAATATCGAATGATTCTCGTTCGCGATAGCACCTACGTGTTTTACAGACATTAAGCCCCGCGCGAACGCGGTGCCGGGCCGCATAATAATAAAGCGCGTTACTCGTCGATCCTGCTGTAATCACCCGAATAAAGCCACCTGACGATGCGGCTGCGTTTGTCACACCACTGCACGCTGAACAAAGTGTTTGCATACTCTTATAAAACGATGGAATACGACGATAACAACGGGCCCGGACGATAAAGCCGCCATGTATCTGGCATGTGCATCGCGATAAGAGAAGGCTGCCAGATCGGAATCGGCGTAAAAGTGCGTTAACCGTGAATTATCGATGCATCGAAGCTTTGCACGGAAGGATCGGATGGGATGGTACTCGGTGTCTGGGAAATTTGCGAGAATGATCCGAGGTGTTACCAGAGATTCACGGTTGCAGCAGGCTGCTGGACGCACGAAGATCGTGTGACGGGAAAATTCACAAGACCTGATTATCTTTGTTACTTTTATAATATTCATATATTATTTTTCTAATAAAATAAGTGTAGAATTGGAATGAGTAGAGCCTTGAAAGAATATCGGGTGCGTTTGAACTTAGAACAAAGATGGACGTATATGACAGCCGAGTGCGATAGAATGAAAATTAGTTTATAAGTACGGCATGTTTTTGAAGTACCTGGTCCACCAAGTTGCGGGGAAAGACTCACGATTGAGAAGGAAGCCTGAGTGTGAAAAGCAGAGAGAATGAATGGCTAAATAAGGGTGCCAGTCAGAGTGTGGAGGTCAGTATGTAAGAAGTCCATCAGTCAATTGAATAAAGACTTTTGCTAAGGAAGCAACACGCTATGTAAAGATCGGATTTATAGAGATTATATTTTATAAACTTTGATTATATTTTATTCCCTTGCGGTACAAATGCGCGGAGGCTTGAGTCTGGTGAGGTGCGTGATGCATACGGTGGACTGTCGAAAAAGAGTCCCGTCGAACTTTTCAGCCAGGGTTTCATAGGCCCTATGACGACCCATTGCGTCACTTAGTCCTGCTTCAAAAACTGATAGGCTTGATGGTTCCTCGAGGCAAACATAGATCCCTATGCAGGGTGATGCCATCCAAATAAAGACTCCTATCACATTAGCGATATCCTTCCCCTGCGTTTTGTCTTTTGTCTCCAGTCTTCTGAAGACGACTTCTAACCTGCGTGGGCCTATACAGGTCAGTTCTAACCGTTCGTCCGTTGAATAAAGATTTATACAGTTTTTCCGCAGTTTCCACTGACTACTATTCCTTTGCGTCATAACCCCTTTTCCACTGACTACTATTCCTTTGCATCATAACCCCTTTGACAGAAACAATACTTGGATTTTGAAAATGGTGAGTGGCGGGAAATGAGTAAATTATTTTGAATTCGGTAGCTATGTGTGTTTCCTAAGTCAATGACGCGTGGCTATCAGCAATGGTCTGTAAATAAGGGCCTCTTCGCAATCGCGAGGTTAGCTCGATGAAAGGTGATTTGTGACAGGTTCGATTAACCTCTACATGCGTGTAGAATGTAAAAAATTATCGCGGTCGTAGAATGAAAATATCGCGATGTAATTTCCTGGCAGAATGTGCGGGACAGATTAACGAAGTTATTAATTTGAGTTAGGCTCATAGGGTAAGTCCACTGACTTAGGTCAGATTAGCTACTGATATATAAAACGTGAGAAATTATCGCACTTATAGATTTGAAATATTGTAATGCAATTTTTATTCAAAATATACGAGGTAGGCCGATTAGTTGGTTAATATGAGTTGTTGCCGCAGATTAGGTCCTATAGATATATAAAATTTAATGCAAGGAATTATCGTACTTGTAAAGCTGAAATAGTGTAATGCAATTTTTATTCAGAATATGTGGAACAGATTGATAAATTTATCGGTTTGAGTTGGGTCATGTAACATTATGTGAGTCGGTGGCATAATATAGATCGTGTTGACGTACGATGGATTAACTGTTACAGTTTTCAAATATATTAGGTTCGTTTAACTGTGGTTTAAAATCAGAGCTATTTTATAGAATTATATGATTAATAGTAAATTTGCATATGGG